GCAGGGCAGGGCTGGGGGAGTGGGCAGGGCTAGTAGGGGTCTCTCCCATGGTCCCCTCCTCCAGCCCCCCTGACCCCTTACTCACCAGCACTGCAGCCCTGGTGCTGAACACGTGGCCTGGCCAGCTGGGTGTTTCAGCACCAGTGCAAGGAGCCAACCACAGAGATGCTCTGGCAGCCAGAGCATCTCCATGGAGGACTCAGCCTCTGGTTGCCTGCCCCACTTCTTAAAACTTTGATTTGTGTTAGAACCTGGATATCCAGGGATCTAATTTTCTCCCCACGCTGCAAACTTGCAGATTGGGGAACATTTTTTCTTTCCCATACATGCCTGTTGCCCCGTCTCAAAGGGGTTTGAGACGGGGCAAGAGGCACATGCATGCTTGTCTGGACACACCATATGAGTGTACTAAGGAGGCCTTTAGATACCAATGTGATGATTAAATAATGATAAAATAACAATAGCAATAAAGAACGAGATTTCCTATACAAATCCTTAGTAAGATCATGTTTAAAATGGAATGCTCAGTTCATGTTGTCTAAAACTAGACAAATTAAAAACGGATATTCAAGGCCTAAAACCTGGACTAGTAGAGTTAAAGGTGACAAACAGTGCCTCATACCTTTCCAAATAGTGGGTACACCTATACTCAAGCCACTAATCTGTGCTCTAAAACTTCACTTTGCCCCCTAGCAAGCACTACTGCTGGTAGATTACACATCTAGGTTAATTTAAAACTGCTCTGTAATAAGCTGACATGAAGAATGGGTAAGTAAATGTGCAATTTTATGAGCTGATTTGCCTCATAAAGACTGTGAAGATTGTTTCCTCTGCAGGAATACAACCAGCTCCTCATTGTAGTATGGACAGCTATCTTGCATGATAATGTTGCCATGGACCCTTCATGTCTATACTCAGTTATAGTGGGAGAACAATACTCTATTTTTGTCGTGGTGCATCCATGACTATCTATTACTGTGCAGAGGGAATTGATAAGGTAAGGTCAGGGAACAGTCTTTCCAGTCTGGGGCAGATTGAGCAGAGCTCTTAATATGGCTGTATATAGGTACATCTGTTTTTTATTTTACAGTACTTAAAAAATGTGCTGGTAAAGAGCAACTAAGCTAAACCTTATCCAGACTGGTGCTAATCTGCAGTTTAGGGAGAATGCAGGGGACAAAACGTCAATGTGTCATATGAAAAATGAAAACATTTTTAAGAATATGCTCAGTTTTAGATTCAGTACAACTATCTTTTAATATCTGGACTGAAAGATGATTAAACTGTAGTTTTGTAACAAATGAAAAAAGAAAATGTGAGATTTTTCAAAGGGCCAAAATAATTTAGAAGCGCAAATACTGCTATCATTCAGTGGCCCTTGTGGGTGCCTGCAGACTTGCAGGGAGACTGCTCCACTGCACTGTAACTACAGTGCATCAGAGCAGACTCAATTAATTGAGTCTGCTGAAGCATGATAATTAGCATGCTCCAGCAGCCTCTGCATCTCATGTATCAGTGTCCCTGCCCTTCAAAATGGTGAAGGGGGTGCTTTAACTAAAGCTCATTCTACAAGCTGTAGTTAAAGTGCCCCCGCCAACATTTGAAGTGTGGGGACACTGATACATGAAATGCAGAGAGTGCTTCAATTAAAGCAGCTCTTAGAGTGTCTCTAATTAAGGCACCACTCTCCCCATCCCTAGAGAGTGTATAAAAATGTCTTGTATTCCTAAATTATTTAGGTATTTTTGAAAATTCTGCCTTTAATTTTTTTCAAAACTTCTACAATGAGGCCATTTTGCCACTATTTTGTGGAGTGCTTTAAGGCCACTGCAATCTAGACTGGAATGGGGAGGCACCTGAATTCAGCCTAAATTCCCAGTTCATTAGGAACCCATTTAGTACACCTGATTCACAGCAACAACAACTGTAAGTTCAGTATGGAGTACCACACACAGTCACTCTCACTCTAAGGCTAGGAACAAACATTGAATTTGTCCCAGGACAAATTGTGCCTATGTTTGTCCTGAAGCAGAAATATTGCAGGATTAGCATGTACATGCATTGTCCTTCCAATCAGGCTTTGGTGAGTGTATTTATGCCCTCCTGCGTTTCTGCCACTGATTCAACGATGCCTTCAGACAGGAACTCATGTGACCCCGTCTCCATCCTGGGATCTACACTGACCCATGCTCCACATGGAGGACAGGTAAGTGCAGGTCCCCATGTGGATATACAGGATGGTGGAGATTCCTTGGCTCCTGCACCATCCCACACATCTGTGCCAGGACCCATGCTGACTTATGCCTCTATGTAAAGCACAGGTTGGTGTGAGATCTGCACAGGTCCCACTATGTAGGCATAGGATTCTAGGAATTCCCCAGCTCCCACACCTCTTCAGGATGCATCTCCACAGGTGGGGAACCCTTTCAGCTTGACCCATTTAGCGAGATGAACCGCTGGGATTTCCCACAGGCACCCATGAGATCCCAGGGCTGTGTCTCTTACTGAGATATGCCCTGAGATTCTCTGGGTTGCATGTCTATTAGAGGGGAAAGTCAGATAGGCACTCTAGGGTGTCAAGGGGGCCCATTCCTTCTCAGAAATTCCCCAGGTACACAGGACCAAGCCCCTCAACCTCCAGAGCACCTGCCCATTGTGACTGGAGAGTATGGGCAGCCAGAGCTGTCCACACTCTCCCACCATAAAGCAAAACAGATGTCTATTGCAATAAAGAAGCCCAATCTATAAATATCTTTGTCATGGCCACAAATTTTGGGCATTTGTGGTACAAAAAGAGGAATGCACAACTGCCTACTTAGCTTTTGTGCCAACATAAGTGTTTATGGCAGAAAAAGGTGAAGAAAGATTACATGTTTCCACCTTGACAGTTATAAGTTAGTGTTGTATTTTTAAGAACTCATAACTCTGCATCTGTGTCTTAAACAAGTTGGATAATGCACAGAGGTTAGAGAGTAGATTAAATAGCTGAAGGATAGTTGGTTATTAAAAGAAAAATAAAATGGCATAGAATTTCAGAACACAGCTTGAATAGACAATTAGCTATACAGACTCCAAAAAAAACAGCATACACAAATAATTAGATTTTCAGAAATTCACCTGAATAGCTAGTGCAAGGAAAGCTAATAGGATTTTTATTTTTTGCAAATACAGCTGCATGCCTAGCAAAATGAAAAGTCTTTAAAATATAAAGTGCATATCCTTTTGAATTGTGTTCACCCTTTACTTTTATTTATATTACCTCTATAGTTCCTTGAATACTATGCTCAAATTTCACTAGTATGATAGTCAAAAAAATTAGCAACTCCCACAAATCCTGTACATACATTTATATTTTGTTGTCTATGTACAAAGTAGAATGTGTGCTTTTAAGTGCCAAAACAGTTACAAAGCCCCTACAAAGTTATCAGTTTGGTTATACATCTCTTCTGGGGAAAGAGATTTAAGGAAAGAGGCTATAGCTATAGCTAGAAGGGACTTGAAACAATAGTGGTCTTACCTTCTTCATCCATAACAAAACTGGATGAGGCACCATCTGTGTCAGTAACAGCTATGGAATAGGTTCCCAAATCTGATTTATCAGGATTTTTAAAGTACATCTTAGAACTAAAGGCATCAAATAAAAATATATAGTTAGAGATTTTGCCACAAGCAAACAAACCTTTACAAGAACAAATGTCTACTGTCTCTATACAGAGATGTAGCACTCACTGGTCTCCAGATGTTTCAATATTAAACTTATCAGTATCATCAATCTCTTCATAGGATTTGCACCATGTAAACTCAGATGCATCTGTAGCTTCTTTGCAGTCAAAAGCTAGGTAAATATTACCTTCTTCATCTACACCAGAAAAGATTTCCTTCGTTCCTGAAAAATGAGAATGAATTCACATACAATGGCCAGAGTAGCATTTATTCTTCAGAAGTGCAATTCAGAAAAGCATTTAAGCAGATATCTAAATCCATGCTGCTCCAGCAATGAGTCTTAAGCAATTATTTAAAGACTTTGCTGAATGGGTATATTTAAATATACCCTTGCATCATTTGCAAAATTAGGGTGTGACATACTGGAGTGTTTCTTGTGTTATACAAAGAAATCAAAGTCTAAAATAATAGTCATAGAATCATAGAAAATTACAGTTGGAAGGACCTCAGGAGGTTATGTAGTCCAACCCCCTGCTCTAATTAGAACCATCCCCAACTAGATCATCCCAGCCAAGCCTTTGTCTAGCCAGGTCTTTAAAAACTCCAAGGATGGAGATTCCACCACCTCTCTGGGTAACCTGTTCCAATGTTTTATTACCTACCTACTGCGAAAGTTTTTCCTAATATCTAACCTAAACTTCCCTTTTTGCAACTTGAGACCATTGATCCTTGTTCTGTCATCTGCCACCACTGAGAACAGTCTAGCTCCATTCTTTTTGGAACCCCCCCCCACCCCTTCAGGTAATTGAAGGCTGCTATTAAACCCCCTCAGTCTTCTACTCTACAGACTAAATGAGCATTTATACACATACTTTTTGTCGCTGTGACATGCCAGAGATCCATCATGTTGGAGCAGACTTGCTTAATTGGGTATGCTCCGCATGTGAGCTGACACTCACCACACTGTGTCGCTTCCACTTGTATAAGTGGCAAAATACATGTCAGCACAGAGAAAATGGCAGTGGTGCGCTTTTGAACTAAAACAACTTTGAGATATTTTAGTTTAAAGGTTATTAAACTGGGGGTACCACTGCCATTTTCTTTGCACTGACACGCATTATGCCATTTATACAACTGCTTGCATTGCAGCACCAGGCGCTTTTCAAAGCGCCCAGCGCTGCGGCGCTTACATGTATAAAAAATGCCCAATAAGCCCAGTTCCCTCAACCTCTCCTCATAAGCTATATGTCCCAGGCCCCTAAACATTTTTGTTGCCCTCCAATGGACTCTCTCCAATTTGTCCACATCCTTTTATAGTGGAGAGCCCAAAACTTGACACGGTACTCCAGATGAGGCCTCACCAGTGCTGAATAGAGGGAAAGAATCATTCCCTCAATCTGTTGGCAACTCTCCTACTAATGCAACCCAGTATGCCATTAGCCTTCTTGGCAAGAAGGACACACTGATGGCTCATGTTCAGCTTACTGTCCACTATAACCTCCAGGTCCTTTTCTGCAAAGCTGCTGCTTAGCAAGTCAGTTCCTAGCCTGTACCAGTGCATGGGATTGATCCGTTCAAAGTGCAAGACTTTGCACTTGCCCTTATTGAATCTTATTTGGTTTCTTTTGGTCCAAAGTCTCTCTGAATCTTAGCTCTACCAGCCAGCATATCTACTACTCCCCTCAGCTGGGTGCTTGCTGAGACATTAAGCCAGGGGTCAGCAAAATACAGCCCATAGGCCAGATCCAGCCTGCGGAGAGACTTGTCTGGCCCATGGTGGGTCCCTTGGTCCTGCTCAGCCCCGATGCTGTCTGGCCCGTGGCACATCCCATCACCCCTGGGCATGCAGTGGGGCTGGGACAGCTCTGCAGCTGGACTCCAGCCCTGGCCCCATGGGAACTGGCAGGGACCCACACACACAGCCCCGGCCCTGGCCCAGCCCAGCCAGTGCCCACTCTGGACCTGCCCCAACCAAAGCAGACCAGTTCCAGTCCAGCCAGGACCCATGCACATAGCCCTGGCCCTGGCCCACCCCCACCTGCTCTGGACCTGATTGCCCACCATGAGTGGCAGCAGCAGCTGGGCAGAAGCTGTTGCTAGACATGGGGGAAAAACAGCTGCCTCCCCCTCACCGCTGCTGGGCTCTTCTTGCTGCAGCTGCCCAAAGCCTGCACCTGGGCTGCCCTGTGGCTCCTCTCCAGTGCAGTCACCTCCACCAACAGCGCCACCTCCAGGCCACCCAGTGGTGCAGCAGTGGCAGTGGAGAGAAGCTGCAGGGCAGCCATGGTCCACCAGGGCCATGGACTCCAGGTGGCTGCAGCAAAAAGGGCCCAGCAGTGGTGAGGGGGAGGAGCTGCTTTTCCCCCGTGCCCAGCAGCAGCTTCTGCCTAGCCACTGCCACTGCTCATCATGGGTGGGCCAGTTTGGAACAGACATGGGGTGGGTCAGGGCTGGGGCTGTGTGCACAGGTCCTGGCTGGGATGAAGCTAGTCCACCCCAGTTAAGGCAGGTCCTGAGGGGGCACTGGGTGGGCTGGGCCAGGCCAGGGCCAAGGCTGTGCACTCAGCTGCTTATGAGCACTGATGGAAGTGAGGAGCTGCAGGGCACACAGGCTCCAGGCTGTTGTGGGGGAGTGGGGTGCTGACCAGCCCATGACAGCTCCCCCAAACTGCCTATGTGGCCTGCAGGCCCAAATACATGCCCATTCCTGCACTAAGCTCTACAATGAAACTGACAATAAACAAGAAAAGCAAACTAATAAGAAATGATAACCAGTAAACCAGGATTTACCAAATTTTACACCGTTAATAAATCTGCAAGCCATCTTGTGCCTCCTTTTCTCAAATAAGATTTTATCTTAGACAGTTCCATTGAAATCATGGAATCTAGTTATGGAGTAAAGTACTGATTAGCATAGGGGAAAATCTGGCCTTTCTATATTATTTAAAAACATGTTTGCGACATGTTTCTAATATACTTGCATATACTCCATACTTGAATACCTACTTCAGGAATAACATTAACACTGGCTCATATCAATATTTATTTGCTACTTTATTTAGCATAGTAGGCAGCACTTAAAAGCTCTGTATTGCTTTAGACAACCAAATTAGATTTACAATTAACTAATCTCACTATTTTTAGTTCTCAAGGTATGTCCTACATTAAAAGAAAAGTACAAGGACCAACATGATGACAGAGATAAGTATATATTAAGCAAAGCTGGTAAAATTTTAGTTCCTGCACCTAAAAATTTCAGTTTTTACAATTCAATTTTGCTTCTAAAAATTTCAATTTTTTTAAGAACTGGAAATTACATAGCATACCTGCTCTGGTCTCCATCAACACTGGTTCAGAAACTTCAGATGACTTGCCTATACCAGCTTCATTCACTGCACGGACTTTGAAAACATAGGTTTTACCCTCGTGTAAATCACCAACCTGGAAAAGAACAGAGTAAAGTATATGTAAACTTGTATAACTGGTCACATTTATAGTAAAGAATCAAACATGAAATCCTGACCAATTGTATTCCACATTTGTTCTACCATTGTTTTCAGTGGGCCCTGATCTTATCCCAAGTGCTTGGTCAATTCATTGAAACATCAGTAACTATATCATCCATCTATTTGATATTACCTTCAAGTAATGATGTGAAGTTGTTTTTTCATTAGCTGTGCTCCACTCTTCCACATCTACTTCCTTATAATCCACAAAATACCCAGTTATAGAACTGCTGCCAGTGTACACAGGAGCTTTCCATAGAAGTACCAATGATGTGTTTCTAACCTCACAAACAGTCAGGTCATAGCAAGGACCTAAAACATTTTAAAAATTGAAAGTTTAGAGTTAGACTTAACTTTATGAAAACTGGCTATCTTCAGGGGAAAGGTACCATCTAAATTTTTATTTGGCGTGGTTCAAAATTCTCCATCCAGAATAAAAGAAATCTCTAATTCTAATCTTGCCCAGAATGAAATGCTTTAGGTCTCTTT